GCACATCCCTGTAATACTGCTTCCCATCGACTGGAAGGCCTTTCAACCACTTATAACTCAGTCTGCACCTGGGACACATTCGTTGCATTACGGCTGCCTCTAGGGAGTCATTATCCAGTGCTTCTTCATCAAAGTCTTCCCTCTGATGTGGGAAATCTCGTCCCATGGCTGGTGGACTTCTAAGGTCTTTTTTGGTTGCTGACTGGTTGGCCACATGCATCTGTACATTGACTTCCTCCAATTCTTTCAGATACAAGTTCTGAAAGTCTGACATATTGACATTGGCTGCCACCTCTCCAATCTCTGGAAATGGATTGCTATCGATCCCCATGGCTTTTTCAGCTTTGGCTGGGAACTTCAAACTCCCCTTCCGAATTTGTTCTTGGATCCTGTCTCGAAAAACAACACAGTTTTTAGTCGAGTGAGACCAAGAATTATGCCATTTGCAATATATTTTTCCTTTAAGTTCATCAAGAGATGGAATTTTAACACCCTTTGGTAACTTAAGGAAGTTGGCCGCAAGTAAATGATCAAAAATGTCATTTGCCTTAGTTAAGTCGAAAGAATATTTCCTGTGGAGATCTTTCTTTTTAAACTGCTGGTCAATTGTTGTATCTTTATGGATTAATGCTTCACAGATCATAGGTTCTTTTCCCACAATCTCTGCCGCATCAATCTCATAATTAGGATTTTTGTAGTATGTCCTATATGATGCATTATTTCGATCCTGTTCCTCTTCTAGTAATGCTTCATATCTAGATACTTTGTAAGTCAGTTCCACTAAATCTCTAAACTCTGTTGAATCAAACTTCTTTCGAAGCCTGAACTCTAGGCCATTTTGGGCCAATCTTACAAATTCAGTTTCTGGCAAGATTACTCTACATTTATTTCGAGCCCTCTTAAATCTGGAAATAAACTGAGTAGCCTTCTCTTCAGGCCTTTGACTCAATCTGGCCAAGTCTGCCATGGAAACTTCTGGCTCAGATTGGAAGAAATGGGCATGAAATGCCTCTTCCATTTGCTGCCAAGTCTGGATGGAGCCAGGTGGAAGGTTAATATACCATACAAATGCTCCTCCGGTTAGAGAATTTGGGAATAGTCTCAACTTTATATAGTCATGATTGGTAAATTCACCACATTGAGCGGCAAACCTAGCAATATGTTCTACTGTGGATTGGTTCCCGTTCCCATGAAAGAGGACAAAATCTGGTATCCTGAAACCTCTTGGATATTCATGTACCCTATCGACCCATTCTGGGTATGGTTTTCTATACACAGGGGTCTGGACCCCCCGAGCATTGGTCCAACACTCCCTAAGCTATGTCAGTGATTTGGTCCCTAGGCGACCATATTTTTAGTGCTGCTGAGCCACACGTGGTGGCCAATACACAAGGTTTAGCGTGACACTACTTTGTGCTTTCGGCTATCTGCCATCAATGTGTGGTACATTTGGGATTGGCTGTCCCTGTGGTAGAGGGTGCTGTTGGGGGTGTAGATAACCCCTTTGAGCCTGTCCTGCTAAAGGACCCACGAAAGGTGCTGGAACAGGTATTGTATCCCTTCCACTTGTAGGAAAACCTTCCAACCCCCCGGGTATAAATTCGAATAAGGGATTATTGTACCCCCTGGTGCCAGGTATGGCTTCGAATGTGGGATTTGGAATCATTTATGCCATTCTCTTGTACCGGGCCAGATCCACCAATTTGCATGGCTTCACTGTTGAACATTGAGACATTCTGGCCTGCTACAGGCCTCGAAATGGGTTCGTACCAAGACTGAGGTGGTAATCTTTCATGAATCTGATTACTGCTTTGACCATTAGAATGTCCATTAGCTTGCATAGGCTGTTTGTCTCTAGCCAATCTTTGCTGGGGGACATTCACCTCCTCTGTGTGTCTTACATTCGTTGGTTGGTGGTTATTCATTCGATCCAAAAAGGATACTGCCCACCTTTCCATTGTGTTTATTAATTGCTGTCCCATGACATCTACCAAGCCGCCCCACGGATTGACTGGCTGAGTAGATGGGACACTGGATGGTCCAATTCCTTGGTCTCGTCCACTATTACGAACGAATGGTATTTGCTCTGAGGTATTGGTCTGTTCGACCGTGGGTTCTGATAGGATAGGAGTTTCCACAGGATGTGTTATCACATTATCCTCTGGATTGGATGTCTCCACCTCTCCTTCCACGCCTTCTTCCAAACGTTCATTTTCTCCTTGTCTCCTACGTCTAGCCATTTTGTTTTTAAAAAGGTCTCACTGGGCGTGCCAAAAATATATGTTGGCTTTTTTGGCTTTCGAAGGTTACTTTTGTAATTATGAGCGTGCCAGCAAGGATCAATCAGTCCTTACAGAATTGTAATTGCCAAACAATTATTCAGACGATTGTGTTATGGTTCTTTCGGCCTCAATAAAGAGGACTTTTACTGGTGGCTTACTAGTAATTTGACTTCAAAGAACTTGAGCATAAGAACAGTTAAATAAACTGAAGCATTTCATTAGTATGAAAAACTTACAATGATCTTAGTTCCGTAGAGAATTACAGCGGCAATATACTCGAAAACTACTCCTATAAATGAAGTGCGGCGCAGAAACTTAAAGTACAGGAATATAAAGGACAGGAAATAACACTGGACTATGTAAAGTAATTCTTTAGATCTTTTGCCGTCCCTTCCTCTGAAGTCCTTCCTGCTATTTATACTCTCCGAAGATAACCATCGAATTGTACTTCAAACCGTCGAACTGCTCCTCCATAGTCGCTGATCATGCTACCTTATAAGTAGTTCCACTACGCCTTCACTTGCAGTTAGGCTTCTCCCTTATATTTGAATTTGAAATGTGAGCAACCGTTGAAGCCACGTCACTGTACGTCTCTTTGTTGATCTGCTACTACTCAGATCTTATAACAATCAATATTAATTGCCACGTGTATGATCAGGATCGGAGACCTACCTGGTCTCCCCATATTACCCTCACTTCGCCACGCGTCGGATTGCCACTGGCTTAGTACAAAATGTGTAGCCAACAGTGATGTTGGTGGTAATGGTAGTGGTGGCGGTGAGGGTATAATAGTGGCGGTGGCGGTGGCAGCGGTGGTGGTGATAGTGGTAGTGGTAGTGGTGGTGGTGGTGGTGGCGGTAACAGTAGCGTTGATGGTGGTGGTAGTAGAAGTAGCAGTAGCGATGGTAGAGGTAGTAAAATGATTGCGGTACTTATGACAATAATGACAATGGTAATGAATGTAGTGATGGTGGTTGTGGGAGTGATAGTGATAGTGGTGGTGGTGGTGGCGGTGGTGGTGGTGGCGGCGGCATGATGGTGGCAGTGGTGGTAGTCTATGCATTGAGAATCATATCACAGTGAACATTTTGAGTTGTACATTGTATTTCTTACCGGTTCACTTACAATTCCCTGCCTCTATAGCTCCTAGAGTGTTACCTACACTTCCTTCACTGGGACAAACCTCATATAGAGGCCCAATTCATCTCCCACAGCTGGTAACATACAGGGTACTATACGAAGGAATTTTTGATAGTGTATTATTTGCTTCTTTTTCAAAATCTATTTTGTTCACAATTTTGCTGCATTGCTTGTAAAGTTCCTCATTTTTTATTTTTTAAAAACACAATTATAATAGACGAAAAATGACGTGCAATGCATGTGCCCATCACTACTAATAATAAAAAGCTCACCATATTGAAATGCTACTTTTTTGATCATCTTTGTTACACGTGTAATAAAAGATTTTCATTACACATTCAATGACTAAAAGATAAAAATGAGAATGTATCATTATTTCAAAATAAGAAAAAAAATCTTTACACTTGCTAAGATAATCTTTCATAACCGTTAGGTAATGTAATAAAGATAATTCATTACATGTAATATTGAGGGATCACAACGCTATTGGAGATCTTAGGTGCTCTTTGGTAACATTTACGATTTCAATTTTCTGTTTATATCTACAAAAATTTTAAAAATTCAAATAAAAACTTATTTGTTAAATTTTTTATTTATAAATCAGTAGTCTCAGTTTATAAATTTGGCCAAAAAATATAAACTCAAAAAATGTGTTTCCGTTTTGAGTTTTGAATTTTTTTTTTTTTTTGTACGTCTCTTTGTTGATCTGCTACTACTCAGATCTTATAACAACCAATATTAATTGCCACGTGTATGGTCAGGATGGAAGACCTACCTGGTCTTCCCATATTACCCTCACTTTGCCACGCGTTGGATTGTTACTGGCTTAGTACAAAATGTGTAGCCAACAAAGACACCAAATGATTTGTTCCTTCCAGCTTGATTTACACACACTCCCTCTGTTCATACTTTTTAATTTTTTGATTTGTCAATCGATAAGAAAGTAATTATAAATAGAAAAAATATTTATATTATCAAACAAACTACTAACTCATACTTTTGTACATATATCATTACTATTTTATTTATTTTTTAAATAAATTTTAAACATCCAATACAGACTCAACACATTGTATGCTACAACTATGCATTGAGAATCAGATGACAGTGAACATTTTGAGTTGTACATTGTATTTCTTACCGGTTCACTTACAATTCCCTGCCTCTATAGCTCCTAGAGTGTTGCCTACACTTCCTTCACTGGGACAAACCTCATATAGAGGCCCAATTCATCTCCCACAGCTGGTAACATACAGGGTACTATACCAAGGAATTTTCGATAGTGTATTATTTGCTTCTTTTTCAAAATCTATTTTGTTCACAATTTTGCTGCATTGCTTGTAAAGTTTCTCATTTTTTATTTTTTAAAAACACAATTATAGTAGACGAAAAATCACGTGCAATGCATGTGCCCATCACTACTAATAATAAAAAGCTCATCATATTGAAATGCTAGACACTTTTTTGATCATCTTTGTTACACGTGTAATAAAAGATCTTCATTTTACACATTCAATGACTAAAAGATAAAAATACGAATGTATCATTATTTCAAAATAAGAAAAAAAATCTTTACACTTGCTAAGATAATCTTTCATAACCGTTAGATTATGTAATAAAGATAATTCATTACATGTAATATTGAGGGATCACAATCCCTTTTGGAGAGCTTATTATTTATCAAATTAAAAACAAAAAACAAAAACAAAACGAGTACAATATAGAGATGGAAACCACATAACGTCTCTGTTTCCTCGCCAACAGAATGATAAATAAAGTCCAAAACATGTTCATAGTACCGACACTGGAAAGCCAAATAGGAGAAACCTCAGTGCCACAAATCATCAAACACCGGCATAAATCTCGAGCGCATCCAACCTAGTATTGGCAAGGTATTTGGCAAGATACTCAGAATAAACGAATGATCGGTAGCGGAGAGGATGTTCTTCATCTACAAGCTGTGGAGGCACCTCAATACTCACTCCATCCTCTGGAATAGCAAAGAATCCGCACGAAAGCCTCTCTTGATCACCACTCATCACCACCCTGTGTTGCACAGCTTCAAGTCTTCCATTGGTCCATGCCTATATATAGTTGCATCATAAATATAAAAAAAATAAATAATAAGAGAGAGAGAGAATCGAATGCATTTATAACTTTGATCTGCCTGTATTGATTGATACCATAACTTATGTGGCTTTAGGGAGGTTTTGAATGATTGAAACAGGTGTTTATGGATCTAATTTATATGAAAATGCATAGGACAATACCATTTAAAATAAAGGTCTTTGGTATTTTCATAATGCTTCCTTTCTATTGCCTATTGGAATTATTTGATCAAAAGCCATCGAATTAAATATGAATTCGGCTTTACCAAAAAAAAGTTTGGATTAGGAATATAACGACTTGTGATAGGGAAAATGATAAAGGAAAGGAAAATGTTTGAGGGCCACAATTTTTGTGGCCACAATGGCTCAAAACTGCCAAAACGACGTCGTTTTTGGTGCAAAACATGCCAAAACGACGTCGTTTTGGCAGTTTTGAGTCATTGTGGCCACAAAAAAATAAAGGTCTTTGGTATTTTCATAATGCTTCCTTTCTATTGCCTATTGGAATTATTTGATCAAAAGCCATCGAATTAAATAGATATGGATTCAGCTTTACCAAAAAAAAGTTTGGATTAGGAATATAACGACTTGTGATGGGGAAAATTATAAAGGAAATACCGATGCCTATATTAAATCAATTGCATTTGTCCACAACATCAAACAAATTGTAAAAAATTAATCTTTGCATTTCAATGGCATGTATACATAGGTGTTTAAGAGTGAATGTTGTACGCGTGCACAGACACATGATTAACGACTTGAAACGAAATAGGATTCTTTTTATTTTCCACAAAAATCGTGAAGACAAAAAGAGTAGAAACACGCACCTGGAGCCCATCGCCAACAAAGACTACCAAGGCTCCCTTAGGAACGTCAAGTGTAATCCATTTTCCGTCTTTAGTGAGAATCTCAAGACCTTGCACTGAATTTTGACATAAAATGGTTATGATGGTTTTATCAACATGAATCGCGAGACCAAGAGGCTCTTCATTCTCTTTAGGAAGTCTGTACTTCATGGCACGTAAATTGCCAATAATGTTCTCATCTAGTGCCTTCTCCTTGTAGTACTCTAAGATTCCAAAGCTCTCGAAAATCATTTTCTGAATTTGGAGGTTCAGTTCGAGCATCTTTGCATTTATGGAGTTGATAACCTCGCTATCCAAAAATATAAGCATCCAAGAGTCAGTAGGTCTACTTTTACCCAACTTATGGACAACCAATGCTTTATTATCACATCAAATAAGATTTTCAATAAACAGCAGAATGACTTTTAAATAGTATCCCACTTTAACTAAGGTTTAAACTATCAACAAAAATAAATAAACAAAACACAGAAGATATTAGAAGCTTCTTTTTTTTTTTTTTGAAACCTTACAAAAAATAAAGTAAAAGTTAAAAATGTATATTATACATTTTTGCAAATGATAAAAAAATCATGAAAGGAAAGAAAATTAATATTTAAAATTAATTTTTTTTTTTATCAGATTTAAAATTAAAACTTGTACACACAATTTCATCATAATATTTTTGCTGATTTGCTCATTGTTTTGCAACACGAAAAACTAGAGAAATCAAAAAATAATTCAAAAAGTTACTCAAAAATAAAGTATATGATGTTTAATTTAATCTTAATATATTGTGGACTTGCGCACATACTCTCTTTTTTTCTTTTCCATGTTTTGGACAACTTTTTGAATAATATTTTTGTAGCATTGACCAACTAATTTTCATTTCCATTTTTTCCATTCCGTTTTCTTTCTGTTTTAATCTTTTGCACATGTTCCAAAAAGATTAGGGTCACTTGCAGAAGTCTAAAGAAAATTAAAACTTCACATAAAACACACACATATTGAAAAATTGAGGGTAATGTGTGTTCTTGAGATTCTACTACTACACTTTGATTTGAAGAATCCAATTATGTTATATAAGAAGAAGGGAATTTAAAAATCTAACTACCAAATGTGATCACGATTTTGATTACCACTATGCTGGACCGGCCAGTCCAATGAAACCCACTTCACTATTTTAATTAATAAATAAATAAAAGATCTAGCAATCCATAAAACAAACCAGAGAATAAATAAGTCAAAATTTGTAATCAAATCTATATATTTAAAGGTATTATTATAGGCTCACACTACAAATAAATCTGAGTCTTTAAGTACAAATTCTGAGTACTTTTCTAGTTTATTTTTTTGAGTTTCTAGGTTTGCTAAAAAAATTAATCAATCACAAAATAATTGATAAAATGAATTGTTTGAATTATTGAAACAAAACTCGTAATGAATCTCCTAAGTCTCAATGCCTTCCAATCCACAGACCGGAAGAGAATTTATTGCTTGGTCTTGCCACAGCCACGTAGTGCCCAACAGTGTTATAATTGGTGGAGGGAGTGGGACTCACAAATTTGTATTTAGTGATTGGAGAGTAATTGGAGAGCAAAAGAGAGCATGATGAGTTGTGATTGGTGAGGGATATAACCACATAATATTACTGTACCAACCAATAATTTTTGATTATTTAAAAAAGTTTGTTTAATATTTTAAAATATAATTCAAAATTTAATTTTCTCTCTCCTTTTTCTTTTTTTTTATTATTATTATAAATTAATCAATCACTTTCTCCTTTCTCTTACATTCTATACATCAATCAATCAAATTTTATTTTACACTCATCTATTCAACGACAAAAAAAAATAATAAAAAAATTACAAATTATCTAAAAACTATTTTCAAAATTTATAACCAAATAAATTTTCAACTTTCAAAACCCTTATCAGCAACTCATCTTTCAAAATACATTTCAAAATTTAAAACTCATTTCAAAAATTAAATCAAAAGGCACTAATATTTTTATGAGTAAAAAAATAATTAAATATGTGTGGGGGTGTTGGGATCTCTAGCACCACCACTGTTTTTAAAGAATAATAGTTGAGGCCCACAATTTATGACTTTCACAATTCTCAATTGATTTGTGACTACTCATTTATTTATTTATTTTTTATTGTCAGCACCCAGCACCTCCTCACATTATGTGAGAGAGAGAGGGGGAGGAGAGAGAAAAAAAAATAAATAAAAAATAAATGAGTAGTTACAAAAGAGTTGTGAGGGTCACAAATTGTGGAAGTGCCAAATATTGCCCTTTGAAAACAGTAATGGTAGAAACCAGCACCCTCGCATATTTTGTGAGAGAGGAAGGAGAGAGAGAAAAAAAAAGAGTAATCACAAATTAATTAGGGATTGTGAAGGTCATAAATTGTGGGTCCTAAGTATTTTTGTTTGAAAAATGGGTGGGTGCTCGGATTTCGTGGGTCGAAATTTGGGTCGAATTCGAAGAGAGGGAGAGAAGAGAGGAGAAGGAGAAGAGAGGGAGACGGGGTGTTGGTTCTGCCGACGTCCTCGTCGCCTCGCCGTCCTCGCCGCAGCTCCGCCTCTGCCTCTGCCTCTGCCTCGCCGCCACACCTCCGCCCCTGCCTCAGCCCCGAGTTTGTTGGCCCCCTCCCCTCCCCTCCCCCTCCTTCTTCCTCCCCTCGTCTTCTTCTTCCTTCTGCTGAAAAAAAAAAATACAAAGATCAAAACGACGTCGTTTTGATCTTTCGACCCATTCGACCCACGAATTTTCGAGCTACCAACCGGGTTGTTTTTGTTTTTGGGTGAATAGGTCCTAAAGTATTATTCGGCTCTAGCAACACTGTTTTTAAAGAATAATACTTGGACCTCACAATTTATAATTCTCACGACTCTCAATTGATTTGTGACTATTTATTTTTTTATTTATCGTTCTTTTAATATTTTTTTCTCACTCCCTCTCTCTCACAAAATGTTGGGGGTGCTGAGAGTTTATTTCAAATAAGATCTAAATTGCGAATTAGAAAAATCAAATCTACGGATTGATTTGGACTGATTCAATTGGTACATTTTTCAGTTTTTTTTGCATAACCTTATCAGAAATGTCACAAATCAATCATAATTTTCAAAAATAATTATAATCAACCACCATATAATAATAATAATAATAAAAACTCTTAAAATATAACCAAAAATATTACAATTTATCATAACAAAATACCACAAAGTCATAAACAGACGTACACACCAAAAGGAGTACTGTACCATAGAATTTCCCTCATTTTTTTCAATCAAATTTCGATGGAAAGAAAAATGGGATAAAAGAGGCAACTTTTTTTTTTTTGGGGGGGGGGGGGGGGATATTAGTAAGATAAATTTGAGATAAGAGACAAAATTTAAAAAGATTTTGATGAAATGATTGAAGTAATTAATATCAAATATAAGGGTTTTACTCAAATTTAAAATTAAATGAGATGATGAAAAAAAAAATATTGAAAAGAGAGAAGAAGAAGAGTGAGGGAGTGACCAAAATTGAGGATTGCCTTGAGGCCACATAAGCTTCTCGAAAGCTCGAACCTCTTCTTCACCATAGACTCCAAAGCTCTCGTAGAGAGGGATAAATGGGTTGCTGACCACGTAACCGCCTTGTCTAGGAGTAGGTTTTTTGTACTGCAATTTGGTCTCCAATGGGAGATCGAACATCTCGCCGGTGGTCTTGAACAGTAGTTGTTGAAGCTCTAATGTCAGATTCTCGTACTTAAGGAAAAAGCACCCATATGTTTCGCATGCCTCTCTCACCTTTCTAATCACCGCTTTCCATTCTTCGCTCTCTCTGTCCAAACTCAACACCTCATTCGTCAGAGCAATTGATGGGATCATTTCTGCAGCCGCATCCGCACCCATATCCCTCTCTCACTCTCTCTCTCTTCTTCGTTTGGGTTTGGGTTTGGTTTTGTGTCGGTGTTGGAAATGAAATTGGAGGTGCCTCTCAATATATAGGGGTCTTTGGGAAGCAAGTATAAAGTGAGTTTTTAGTTTTTTATTCATTTATTTTTAATCACATCTCTGTCGTGTTTTTTATTTATATAAGGTAAAATAAGTTAAAAGAGTTCAAAAATTAATTTTTTATCAATTTTTCAAAACACCACGTAAATAGTCGGGGCTTTCCTCTTTTGTAATTCTTATTACACCTTCTACTTTGCTTTTGCTTTTTCGTCGCTGAAATTTTTTTACGGATAACTATAACTTTTAAAAAATAACTGATATTTATCATGTTTTTCTAATGATTTATTATTTTATTTTTCATTTTTATTTAAAAATTATTTGAGATTATTTTAGAAGGATCTAAATAGATATACTTATTTAGGTTATATCACTTCTCTAATTTTTTTTATATATATATATATATATATTTGTAAGAAATTAAAAAGGACACTAACTTTTTTTTGATTTTTTTATAGTGACTTTTTCCCGTGATTAGCAATGTAACATAGCACTTGGGAAGTTAGATTGGGTTGAGTAGGGTCAAAATAATTACAAAAAGATAAAATAAGTTTTTTAATTCTAAGATAAAAAATGCCGCATTTAAATCATAATTGTTTTACTTTTTTTTTTTAAACAAAAGTTAAAAAAGTCAAAAAACTCATTCTAAACGAGGCCTTTAACCCATACTAAAATAGTTAAAAAGTCAAAAAATTAAAAAACTAACCCACATCACAAACGAACCTATGCTAAAATTTTTATTAAAAACATACATCTTCAAATATTATTAAATATTTAAAGGGGAACTTACTGATAAGTCTCATATATAAAATTTAAAATCCATCTAATCCCAAAATAAAACACTTGCACCAATTAGTCATAAATATTTTTAATTGTTAGTAAAAAAATCTTATTTTTAAAAAAGAAAAATTTAAAGACGCTACTACATTCCATTATCGCCGAACTTCCGTTAGATGGTCATCAGAAACTCACTAAAATGTTTAACATCACTGGGAAGTCGCCCGAATATCTCCAGAAATTCACTACAAGAATTTTCACTTTTGGCGACTAAATTTTTAGTTGTCAAAAGTTAAATTTATTCGTTGAAAGGTTTCAGTGACTAAATTATATGGTCGGAGAAATAGTTGTCGAGAATTGTCGATAAAGGAAATTAGTGACTAAAATTATTTTAGTCTCCAAATGTACTCAATTACTAAATTTTTAGTCGCCAAAAGGTTGGACATAAAATTAAATTAGTACGTTTTCGGCGACCAAAATTTTAGTCGCCTAAAGTCCCACATTTTTAGCTACTAAAATTTTAGTCGGCAAAGAGTTTTTGTTTTGGATATAAATATTTGGTCGCCTAAAGTCCTACATTTTTTGCTACTAAAATTTTAGTCGGCAAAGAGTTCTTGTTTTGGCTACTAAATATTTGGTCGCCTAAAGTTTCACATTTTTGGTTATTAAAATTTTAGTCGGCAAAGAGTTCTTATTTTGGCTACTCAATTTTTAATTGGCAAAAGTGTTTTTATTCTTTAGCTTTTCTTTTGGCTACAAAACTTTTAGTAGCCAAATCTTTGCTTTTCTTTTGGCTACAAAACTTTTAGTCGCCAAATGTTTTTTTTTTTTTTTTTTGCTATAAAACTTTTCGCTGCCTAAACTATTTTCCAATTTCTTTTTAGTTACTAATTGTTTAGTTGCTAAAAACATGATATTATGTTTTATCGCAAAATTATAATTTCTCCACAACCTGTCCATATTTCATGCAACCTGTAATACGTATATAAACAAAATGATACATATACTGTCAATCATTTCACAATGTACATCCATATACAAAAAATAAATAACTTTAAATGTCAAAGTCCATACAAACCAATTATTGTCCAAACTAAAATAATAATTCTATACAAAATACAGAATCATACAAAAATCAAAGCCCTCCGTATACAAAAAATACATTCACAAAAAAATTATCAGTTAGTTGCCAGAAGTTTTTTGTATCAATAATACTAAACTACACAAAAGCCCAGGACTAGTATTACATTAGTTCTATACAAAAGTGAAATTTCTTCTCTATATACCAAAATGGATTATCCACAAGTCCACGCAACCAAGCCATCTACAAAATAAATAAATAAATAAATAAATAAAATAAAAATAAAACAAAAAATAAAACATTAGAATTTGTTACAAAATATCAATTCAGTCAGCCATAGGGAACATGTTCTAACATGCATTTAAGGTAGAACAATCGAGAAATGTCTTCTTGGAAATAAAAGCATATATATATATATATATATATATGTATTATGCAATATTTATTCCAACCAACTGCACAAACAATCTAATATATAATTTCTTTGTCCTATAAATATATAAAGGCAATTATTAGAATATGTGGATGTTATTTTCATAAAGTTGTCACTCTTTAAGTGTTATGAGTTTTTCGACTAAGTGTAAGGCGTTTTCGGCTCAAACTCCAAGCCTACGAGTTCTAATTACATTCCGTCAGTTATCACAGGTCGTAATTGTCATGGGAAAGCTGTCCGTGAGAGCCACACGATGGTTCGGGGGCCTGTTTTGAATTTTCGCCTCCGAAACGCCATTTTTCAAGTAAGTTTAAGGCGTATTCGGCTCTAACTCCCAACCTACGGGTCTGGATTACATTCCGTCAGTTGTCACAAGTCCTATTTGTCATGAGGAAGCTGTCCGTAAGAGCCACATGGTGGTTCCGGGGTCATTTTGAATTTTTGCCTCCAAAACGCCCTTTTTCGAGTAAGTTTAAGGTGTATTCGGCTCTAACTTCCAACTCAAGGATCTGAATGGCATTCCGTCAGTTGTCACAAGTCCTATTTGTCAAAAGGAAGCTGTCTGTGAGAGCCACATGGTGGTTTGAGGGCTGTTTTGAATTTTTGCCCCCGAAACGCCATTTTTCGGGTAAGTTTAAAGCGTATTCGGCTCTAACTCCCAACCTACGGGTCCGAATTACATTCCGTCTGTTGTCATAGGTCATAATTGTCATGGGGAAGCTGTTCGTGAGAGCCATACAGTGCTAAGGGCGCTGTTTTGAATTTTCACCCCTGAAACGCCCTTTTTCAAGTAACTTTAAGGCGTATTCGGCTCTAACTCCCAACTTACGGGTCCAAATTACATTATGTCAGTTGTCATAGGTCGTAATTGTCATGAGGAAGCTGTTCGTGAGAGCCACATGGTGGTTCGGGGGTTGTTTTGCATTTTCGCTCCCTTAACGCCCTTTTTCGGTTAAATTTAATGCGTTTTCAGCTCTACCTTGCAACCTACACGTGCTAATTACATTCCGTCTGTTCTCACAGGTCCTATTTGTCATGGGAAAGGTGGCGGTGACATCCGTACGGTGGTTCGGAGACTATTTCTCATTTTCAGCCCCTTAACGCCCTTTTTTGGTTAAGTTTAATGCGTTTTCGGCTCTAACTCCCAACCTACACGTGGTAATTACATTCCTTTTATTGTCACAGGTCCTATATGTCATAGAGAAGTTGGCCGTGACATTCCTACGGTGTTTCTGAGGCTGTTTCGCTTTTTCGCTCCCTTAACGCCTTTCTTCAGTTAAGTTTAAGGCATTTTCGGTTCTAACTCCCAACCTACATGTGTTAATTACATTCCGTATGTTGTCACGGGTCCTATTTGTCACGGGGAAGGTGGCCGTGACATCCGTACGGTGGTTTTGGGGCTATTTCACATTTTCGCCCCCTTAATGCCCTTTTTCGGTTAAGTTTATTGCATTTTCGGCTCTAACTCCCAACCTACACGTGCTAATTACATTTCGCCTGTTGTCACAGGTCTTATTTTTCATAGGAAAGGTGGCCGTTACATTCGTACGGTGGTTAGGGGGCTGATTCGCATTTTCACCCCTTTAACGCCTTTTTTCGGTTAAGTTTAATGCGTTTTCGGCTCTAACTCCCAAACTATGTGTGCTAATGACATTCTGTCGGTTCACACAGGTCCTATTTATCATGGGGAATGTGGCGGTGACATCCGTACGGTGGTTAGGGGGCTGATTCGTATTTTCGCCTCCTTAATGCCTTTATTTCGATTAAGTTTAATGCGTTTTCGGCTCTAACTCCCAAACTATGAGGGTGTTTGTTTTAGCTTTTTAGAGCCAACTTATAGCTTTTAGCTTTGAAAAAGTTATTTTGGACTGTTTGGTTAAACTTATTTCAAACAGTTTTTGATTCTAACAGCTTATTTTAACTCAAAAAAGCAGATTCTGAGAAGCTGCTCACCCCGTGCTTCTGATTATCAGCTTCTGCTGTGGACATGTTAATTTATGGTTATACTCTTAAATTTTTTTATTTTTTATTTTTTTAAAAATAGAAAAAGACTCAAATGGACTATAGATTATTATTATTATTTTTTATGAGAAATGCAGACAAACAAAAAATAAAAATTAATTGAAAAAACTATTTTACAGCTTATTTAACAAACACTACTCAGCAACTTAAATCTATAATCCAACAGCTACACCAAACAGATTAACAACTTCTGATTAAAGTCATAATCTATAATCTGTTAAGGTATAATCTATAAGTTGTTTTAATAGCTACACCACTTAGATTAGGTGTACAATTCAAACTTTCAATTAAAAAAGGAATAACACGAGCAATATATACTAATGGTCAAATATAACATAAATCACCGCTTACAAAGGCAAAAATTTTTCATTACAACAGTAATACCACATCAACATCACCGTCTAATAATAAATTACCATGTAAGCATAGCCTACCTTATTATGCAGATATTGCTAGTTAATGGATTGAATTAGATACAAAAATTACATTTACGTCGTGGTGTTAATAATTCAAAGAAGAGAGTTGTTTTATATCATCCAAAACATTTTATTAGAACTCTTCACTTCTTATATGGCTTTTCATGTGTTACGGTGAGTGCCAACTATCTCAATATTTTTTAAATATGGTGGATGCGTTGTCAATATGTACATATGGTTTTTACAGCATGAA